TTACCGAAGAGGCAGTCAACATTGAGGTTCCTGGGACGGTTGTCAAGCCCTTAATTGAGAGGTGATTTTCCCATGCGTGGGTGTTTCATTAAGACTCTTTGGCTTATTGCAAACTCAGGAACACCCTGGACAGTGGGTGGCCTAAAAGCTGTCGTGGTTACGTCGTTTCTCTGCCTCCCATCTTGATTTGATCGTGTTGAGGTCTTCGCAATAGGTTTGGCTGGCCATTAAGAGAGGGCTTCCAATACCACCATCCTACGGACGAGTCCTTTCACCCTGCTGCTACTATCATAGGGAAGTTGTAAACTCGAGATGAGCAAATATCACTTCAATAACGTTTTGAAAATCGTGGTGGGGATTGCCTGCTCTGCTAAATAGTCATCTCAAACAGATCACATGCTTAAGGAACATGGACACAACGAACAACTTTTGTTGAACCCCGCAATCCTTTTATTTTTTTTTGTAAATTACTATTTTTAAATGCAAGGGTTATTAACAAGAAATTTCCCAGTTTTGGGGCAAATAATGTAGATTAATACCGACCAGCCGCACCGTTTCATACAGCCCGCGCAGGCTTCACAGCCAATCAACACAGCTCTTTCATTCGCGCCCTAATTGGCCGATTGGAAGGAAGCACGTGTGCACACTGCACGCTTGTATTCGTCAGCGCGATTGCACAAGTGTACGGGCCGGTTGAGAGTACGTACGCACGCGCACCAAACGTGCATCCAGTCCAAGACGTATCGATCGTGTCGAGGGTAGCACGCACGCACTTGCAGTCGACGCGCGGCGTTGCGTACGCAGGACCAGGCATAGGAGGCAAGCTGGCAGTCATCTACCCACCTAGCTAGCAAGCCCTCCAGCCGGCTATACTTAATGTGAACCTCTACAACCTGGTGATTGTTGCCTTAGAGACAAACACGGAAACACAGAAATCCCTCTCTCCGCCCGAGATGTTACCGAGGTCTTAAAGGTGAAATGTAAATAGTCGCGGTAGTGCAATGCTGCATCGATTGTGGATCTATCCTCTCTCCTTCCTCTTTCTCCCCCTCCTCCACCTCCTACTCACCGTTACCATCCACTGCCATGGTGCTTTGGGCATTTCAATCTGGAATTATCCCCCAGTCCAGTCGTGGAATTATTCCCTGCATCGTCAAACTTCGTTGAGACTGTTTCATGCCGAAACAAGTGGTAAGACTGAACTCTCGCTCGCTCATTTTGCGTCGAGTTTCTCCTTGTACCACTTGAGGATAACCTTGAACGTACTTGCCTAATGAATTTTGAAGATATATTTGGATGCATAGCGCTAGATCTTGTTTATTTTCTCCACGCTGTAGCACCTGTATAGCCGATTTTTTGACCTGACATCGGCACTGGATCTCATTGGTTGGAGTAGTTCTGCTTGGTGGGAATAATTTGTTATTTTTCGTAGAAACGATGTAATGTAGTTCCCAGTACTCCGGCAAAGTATTACCTGTTCTTTTTTGTGCTCCAACTAGTTCTCGCCCATTCTCGGGAGTAGTTCCTTTGAATTTTCTTCAGAAAAAGAAGTGGGGTTACGGTTGACTGCTGTTAAAACGCTTCTTCATCCACCTGCTGTGCTGGAGTAGTTCAGAAAGTGCTGGTTCAGAAAGTGTCCTTACAAAAAATGATGGGTATATTGTTCCCAAATATGATCTTTTGTGGGTGGACTGTTTTTAACTGATAGTGGGGAAAGAAGGACTTTATAAAGCTTACTTTCTTCCCAGTCTATATACTCGTATAGTCTCCGCAGCGAATTGATGGTTAAGGTTGTATCCTAGTCTCCAGTTCCCTACCTATTTTTTCTCTACCAAAAGTAGCATTTCTTACCGGAACTATTAATTTTACATTGCTGCAACTCAATATCATTGGACAGTGAAGTTGTTTTTCTACTTTACTTTTTCCGCCGAGCACGAAGCGTAGCTTTTTATCCTTACCTTAGATCATTTTTCATCGGTTCGTTCCTCTCACAGTGGTGGGGGTCGTCAGTTTCGTAAATTATTGTTAACGCGATCCCTGCCAGTGTCACACATGTGACCTGTTCCTTATCCATTTTGGAATGTGTGTACTCGCGTCGAGCGTTGTCGCCAACGCGTTAGGTGAATGTGAACAAATAAACTAGGCGTAGACTGTCCTTGGCCTGCGGACAATCGCATACGTTTATTTCTTGCCTGACCGCTTCGACAGTGTAATGGTGAGACAACCAAACACCTGGCCTGTGGTGGTCCATCCTTCTTTCCAAAACGCAAACCTTAATACCAATGTGATGCCTCTAGCCTGTACTATCTGACCACTGTGACTTCTTTTGCTCCACTTTTCCTTCTCGCCTGTAAGTATCTGTTTTGCATCGATTTTCTATCAAAATACCACCCACTACCTAATCTCGCTCCTTGGTATGCTTCCCCTACACCCACTTTTATCGGTATTAGCGATCACGAGACAACTTTCAGACTTTCCCCACAATTTCCGCTTTCAGCATCAAAGTGGCATTCCTCGTTGGAGTTTGCATTTAGATTCGTCAACTAGTTGACTCCTGCAGCTTTCCGTCCCCCTCGTTAATCACATGCCCCATATCGCGTTTCCCATCAATACATACCAACCATTTCCGGCACAATCTACGTTTTTTTGTTAGGACGGCCTTTTATCCTGTTTCGTCCCCACTTTCATGAGCCCTAGCGATCTCGACTTTCGACTCTCGATTTTCCCGCTAACCATTTGGAGCATGGTGATCGACTAAAAGCACTCAGTACCATCTTTTTCCAAAACCTCCCTTCCAATTTAAGTACCAATCGTGGAAAGGACTTACAACTTTGCTGACTCCTTCCTAATTATCCCTTTCGCATTGACTTACTCTCTGTCAGAAAGAAATGACCCCGGCTCTCATTGACTTTCATGTTTGTTTTCTCAAAGAACTGGCCTTCCATATTTAACTCTCAATTTCCATTTTCAAATCGCCACATTCCCACTGATTCTACTCCCCCCTTGATTAACCTCTCCTGGAGTGGTGGCAGAATTTTTTTCCTCAACCTGTGACCTTGAAGCCCACAAAGTAATTGGTTAGTGGGCCACTTCAGATTCGTTTCCGCTTCTGCCCTTTGAGAAATGATCGAGAGGACGGGGTTTTATCCGTCTAACCAGCCATCGTAGAGACGTCAGTAGCCACAGCGATGAGTAATCGGACCTACACAGGGGGAGCCTGGTCGCATGACTCAGCACTCCGCACTGTCTGCAAATCAATGCTGCCTCTATGACCGTGTTTTGTTGATTGTTCCCCCCTAAATGCCGGGCTGGAAGAAGGACCTAGCAACCAGAAGTGAACCCCTTTAATCCCATGGTTTCGGTCGCCCCGATAAGGCATTTATCTATGAATGCTAAAAGAATTGGTGCCTTCATGGCAAGTTTGTCTGCTGGCTCTTGAAATTTGGGCAACTGCAGATAGGTCATGATTTTTTGGCCCTTATCCGTTCAGTTTGGTCTTCTAGGTTTGTAAAAGGACTCAAAAACCTGTGATAGAAGATGAAACGGTGGTTTAATGATTTTTTTTTGGTCAGTAGTCGACTACTCGGTGGATTTTTCTTCTGATTGGAAATGTAATTGTTCCCGTGAAGATTGGATGAATTGCTTTCATTCCTCCCTAGAATTTTCGAGGAGTCGGTGACCGCATCAATGTTTTCTGCGTAGTTTGCTGTGAATGGGTGAATGTATCTGTCGCTTCCTTTCATTGGACCTGGTTTCAACTCATCCGGACTATCCGCTCCTGCCTTGGTTTCATATCACGGGTGTTACCTAACTCGTTCATGTGATCGATGTAACTTCTCACTTCCATCATCTACCAGCCTAGTGTTGTCTGTTGTGCTGGGCCTTCATTCCCCAGCCGCACTTGCCTTGCCAAACGGTTTATTCGTCGGTTGGTTTGTTGATGTTTCGAAATAATTGGTTTTCTGACAAGAGCCACATTATGAATGAAAGTGACTCCGAGAAATGCGTGCACCTACATCATAATGAGCAGTGATTGTACCAAATGGGATGGAACAACAGCTTTTTCATGGATTGAGGTGCGTGCCTGCTTGCTGAGGCTACAACTTCATCCCGTCGCCACGGGGATGGGGTTTTTTCCCGTAGAGTTATCTTTGAGTCGGTTGTGGATGCGATACTGACCGTGCCAAACCCTGGAGCTGCTAGTTAGTCACTTGAAATTTAAGGTATCTGCTTTCAAATCCGCATTATTCACTAATCTAGTCCCTTTTGCATTTCCCAGTAGGGAAGCTCTTACTAGTCACTCACCGGCGTATTGTTCTGTGCTCCGTGTTCGGTTCACCGGCTAGCCACATTCTTGCCTGGCCACCCATTTTCATTTCGTTGGGCCTTTTATCTCCAATTTCCTAGATTAATGCTGTTGAGCTATTAATTCGTCATCGTGTCATGTCACCCTCTTTTTAATTCTTCTGCCCCCTAGAGAGCAACCGGCTTTTTTACTTTATCCCGTCCCCCAATAGCGGCGACATTTAGGCGACAGTGTCCTTTGTCTGGCCTTGGTCGCGATTGCGTCGCTTCACATGCAAATTAGCCTCTGAATGTCGTGCCAAAAGGCCTGGGGTGAATGGCCGGTTGACGCGGTCAGCTTTTTGTTTTTGCTAGCCCTGGGAGCTAGGCTTGGATCTCCACTGCCTTGACTGGTTAGCCGCTTTTTTGTATCGAAAACCTGCGCCTGGGACAGTGTAAGTGTACGATGGGCGAGTCCTGAATCTTGGGTCTCTTTTAAAAAAGGACCAGATTTCAAGGGGAAAAATTCACCAGTCTTCCTTCACAGTCATCTGCCGCATCCACACACCTACCCTTCAGAGGTTAACTGTTACCTGGAAGACGGCCTCGGGACAGAAGGAGTTGTCGGCACAGCCAAACAATTTTAGTGCTTCCTACTTCACTTCGCCATTGGGACTGAAAGGTGACTTGGTACCTTTTGGATCTTTAAATGGATTCACCGATGATTGAGTTCGTCCTTACCAAGGCAAGGTTTCCCTTATCCGACTTTACGGCTGGTGTTAGCTGGTGTAATCTGGCAACCACCAAAGCTAGGATCACCACCGATGTAAAAATGCACGCTTGGCCGGCTTTAGACATTTAGACCATTCAAACATCTCCCTGGTTCGTGGTGTGTTTGAAGCCTTTTCTAGATTTCCGTGGGTTTTAGGCCTCCTTTCATGAGAAACTTCATCATCACCTGGTGTTTAGAATGGCCCAAGACATAGGCACAGCCTGTTATTAATGCCTTGGGATCACGTGGCCACTACTACTGCGTGTGGTACTGCCGCACGCTTTAGTCCAGTATTGTGCAGGAGATGTTGTCTGTTCAATTTGTAGATATTGAACCCTCATTAATTGTTGTTGGGCTGTTTCCAGTTCACCCGCGTTCCCCACCACCGTCTTGGCTTCAGTTCAGATCTACCTCCCGCGTGGTGCGCGGTTAGCTCATTAGGCAGGTTAAAAACTGCGAGTGGCGAGGAAATTCTCGCTCTCGGATAGCTAACTAACACAATGCGCTGTCTTGTGCGTTTCATTTGCTAGCCAGCCACGTCCGAACAAAGCATTCATCCCATTTCATTTGTCAATTCGCAACAAAACTCAATCATTGTCGGAAACAGTCGTGTCCGAGTTGTCATCTCAGGATGAAGATGGCTGTGGAACTGGCGGGTGAATAATGTCAAAGAGGAGGGAAGGCGCCTGCTGGAGGGTGGCAAATTTGGGCTTTTTAACATTTGCACTGGGTGTAGGTATTCACCCTTAAAAGTGTTCGTTTCATTGTCCCCTCTCAGTGCCGTAGTCCCATGCCTGTAATAGACTCGTCGCGATAAACCGTTAAAAGGTTTTGTATCACTTCCGATATCTAGGTACATTTTTATTACGCAGGTACATTGTTTACTACTACCTCTGAACTTCATCGCTGAATTCTATCTCCCCCTCTCTCGCAACTTAGTATCCGATTAGGTGACCCTCTAACGATTCTTAGGGTGTTTTAAATGTGTTCGTTTAAAGCTGCGTCCGCCAAAATTGTCGAAATAAGAGGTTCTATGTCTTCTCTGCATGGAGCTTCTAGATACCGATTCTGGGTAAATGACTCTTAGGATGTCATCTAGACGCCTAGATAAATAGTCATACTTTCCACTAAATGTCAAGGCGGCTTACAGCACGAAAATTGGCTGGTTACCTAAAGAAAATGGTCAGTCTTATCAGGTTTGGATATCAGAGCTGATATTCATTAGCCGCAACAACAGAATATGGATTCCACTAACTTCAAATTCAGTCTAAATCCTCCAGACGCATCTTTTACTAGAAGTGTGTAGTTGCTGTGAGTTATCGTTCGTTCGACGTCTGGAACGTCTGGAAATTCTACCTTGAGTATCCGGATGCATCTAAGGCTGACAATAAGCCAGTGTTTGGAGCTCTGGTCTGTTTTGGGTCCAGATGTCTAGTCACACCGACAAAGAGATAAGAGCTTAGTGGAAGGGATCTTCCTAGCAGAACCCCTAGACGCAACTCAGACTGACGAAGGTGTAGTATACTCTCAAAGTGGACTCCGTTTTGCATCCGGCCGTATTACCAACTACGATGTCGGTCAATTTTGATGAAATAATGATCGGTTCCACATTGAACGTTTGGATGTATGGTAGGTTGGAGTTAGACCATCGTCGTCTACCTTGAATACTTACCTGTATCACGTCAAACTCGTCTGTCAATTTGGTTTTATGAATGGGTTTTTGCAGTGGAATTGCAGATCGTTGGTGGTGTGTAATCTATGTTTATTTAAAATCTAAACATCTGTCTGAGTTGTCAAAACACCTGTCAAGTTCGACAAAAATTGTCTTGGACGATTGTTTTTGTTTACTCAGTGTACAAACGCATGTTAGGCCACTGTAAGGCTGTCTCGAATTGTCTTCTGTTCCAGGTCTCCATGTCCCATAGTTTCTCTGAGAACGGCTTGTCAGTTCCGGCAGAAAATACGCGTCTCATTTGCGCAAACGAATCTTAGTCAAATTATGGATGTTTGATAGCACAATGCCCGTATCGATACACTCTCCTTCTATCTTGAACGTCTAGACGCCTCTTAGACTAAGGTTTAGTCATGGTTTGCTTTAGATTGTCGTCTATCACGAGTTTCAGAAGGCAATCTACATCAACTGCTTCATAAAGATTGCCTGGACCTTTCACAGACTCCTTCAACTGTCTTTTCTATGTCTCGACATCTTGATAGGCCTTCAAGAATAATACTTGTCGACTTTGATAAAAGAATGCTCCTTTTGATAGCTTCTATTTCCACTTTACTATTTGACCTCAACTTCCAAGGAAGATAGGCTGTTGTCTTTAGGCTTTTACCCCATCCACGTCTAGGCGTTCTACTGAATCGTTGAAGACGACCTCTGAGTAACTGCTACTTCCATATGAGTCATCTGGCCGCGCCTAAGACTAAATACCTACCTCAAGTCATTCTCTTCCGCGTCTAAATGTCTCACTAACTCGGGGAAAGCGGTCTTTGGCAAAGGCATCTGCTTCCACTAGCCGATATTTCACATCCAATCGCCTGGTAGAGTTATGCCAGCTTTGCTGAAGGACTACACATCTCGGCAGCTTACTGGAGACCTAAATTCTGCACACATTTCAGACTAATAATAGCCTATGTTCGTCTTGAATGTGCGTCTTTTTTCACGTCTAGAAATCTCCTTGGATCGTCGGAAACGAACTCTCTCCGCTCCCGTTGATTTTTCCCATCTCTCTCCACCCCGAATAACGCCAGATCTGCCTCCATTACTGCGTTTCTTTGATCACACCGGTGCACAGGTTCGCTGTCAGGCGACAGGTAACCCACGACCTTCCGTCAAATGGCTGGTGGCCACCAACTTCAACGGGAATGTCAACAATGACTCGGAACTACTGGAACTGGGGTTCTCTGCGTATGCTCGGTGAGTGCAGCTCTCTGCCAACTCAATTTATCTGTCCGTCTCGGTTCCATCCATCCATTCAATAATCCATCCCCTTTTCCATCATTCATCCAATAGTAGGCTCATGGTACCACATTCAGTAACTACGAAGCTATAGCTTTTCTGCAGATGATGCCTATCGACGCATTTGAAGCATTTTGTCAGACAGGTGTTCAACAAGCAACCTGTCTACCTTTTAGACATCTAGCTGAATGTCAGTCAGTATCAATAAATTCGTGGTTCGCTGGCTGTGTCTAGGCGATTGTTGATTTCTTACTTAAGGCTTTTATTCCGCGTTTTCTTTTGTGCTTCTTTTTATTTTGAGGGTTTTTTTTCCAATTTCGACTTTTCTGGCATTTTTACTGATTTATGCCATTTGAATGATCCATTATCGTTGATTTTTGACTGACTTAAAGAGTGTCAATAAAAGTGGGATCAGTTCTAAGGTTAGGGAGGTCAATTCCACGTGAAGGTTCCGTTTGCATGGGTTTTTCACCAAGTTTAGCTTGGTGATTGTCGTCGAGTATGAGGGTGGGGGGGAGGGGGGGGTTGCATGCTGTCCAAGGGCATTATCTGCCGTGTAAGCTCGGAGGTGGCTCCATACCATTGTTTGGGACTGTTATGGAAGACAGGAAGGAGCTGTACTTGAAACGAGCATACCTCTTGGTTTGAAAATCGCCCTGTCTGTCACGAGATGGTTTCCTATCGAAACAAAGTGACTGCAGTTTAATGGTGGAGGCCCACTCCGGGGGTTTCTACGGTATATACTTGTCAGTCCATGTTACCGATTGGAGGATGTTCTGCTTTTATTTCGTTTTTAGCCTACTTGCTGTTTCGAAGACTGCTTCTTTGTTATTCACCTGGACTATCTTCGGCTTTTTGTGATAAATAAGGTTCTGCATTCTCAATGCTTAACACCCATTCACCTGTTTCCACGGTTCCATATCCTATTGACATTAGTGCGAAACCCAAAATTGTGGTAGCTTCCGAAATTCAACCCACTTTCAATCGGTTTTATGCTGTGAGTAATCGAGTGGTCCTGAAAAACGCACAGAAGGGATGGGAGGCTGCTAACCATTGGCTGTGTTGCAGAGTGGAAGCACTACTTGTAGAGACTGAAGTGCCTGCGGTAAACGGGCAATACATTTCGACGCAAATCCTCTTTGAAGGATCTATGGGAGGGGTTGATGCTTTTCTCTAGGGTAAAAACGCTGTGTCTGGCCTATCATATGAGTCCTCTGAAGTCGTTTAAGCCTACACGAGTCTGTAACTGGCATTGTTAGATGTAAGTTGACTACCATCAGAACTTCATTGTCACCTTCGCGGATCTTCGTGCAGACGCGCAGTCGGGTATTCTGGCACTACCACTTTCCTAGCATAAACGGGCTTTATTGCAATGGCGACTGTGGTGTTACGACCACTCGGAGTTGCGACAGACCACCACTGCTACCAGCAGCAGCATACCTCCTTTACAGCTGGTAGTAAATAAAAATGTTTGGTTTTTATGATCGTTGAATGGACCACCGGTGCTGTTCTGAGGTTGGTTATATAGATGAGGCATTTTTACTTATTTGGCTTTGAAGTCCTGGGAGCTGGAGTTGTTATTCTGGTTGCGAAAAGTGTACGCGAGCAGGGACATTTCTCTCTCGTGAAGGGGTGTATATGCGCGCCGAGAACCCAAGTTATTCTAAAGATAGTTGTCTGTGGGCGGATGGAAGAGTTTGTTCTGGATGTCTAACCGACTGCAGGCACAGCCATCAGGTTCACGAAACCAGTAGGGTCTACAGAGGTGGGGTAAATGCTGCCTCCAAAGCATGACAAACTCTAGTTTGGCAGTGTTTTGATAGGTGATTGGCTTGAGGGATTGAAATCTTAATTGAATTTTCTATTTCCAACCCGTTTCTTGTCCTGCCTCCCCATGACGTTCTAACCACACCCCATCAAAACATCCACTACACCACGTGCTACAGTGGCCTCTCCCAACTTTCGTCTTTGTCCTTTCTCCTGTGTACAGATGAAGGGACGTTGAGAAGTATGTATGTATGTTGTTGTATTTTCTAAAAAAGCCGGTATTTACTGCTCCTACCATTTAACCCCCTGTCATCCCTTGTGGCCGGGAACCAACACCTACTCACAAAGATTTAGTAGAGAGGGGACGCACCTGCACGCGTATTTCTTTTTTTTCGACATTTTTTTTCATTCTAGCGACGCCCAGTCGATGGACAGCCAATTAAGAGGTGCTGCTGCGGATGACTATCATCTCTACGATCCAAAGTCGCGGGATCTGGTGCCGATTGGTGCTATGGCACCACCGGTGATGTATCCCAACCAATACGTGATCGATGATGGTTGGTTGAATTTCACTGCAACCCCACGCTCATCGACCCTTAGGATGGTGTTCTTTTGCGAGGCTGAAAATAGCTTAGGACGGACACGGTCCCGAAAAATGGTTATTCATCAGGGTGAGTGCTACTGATTCTGTAAATTAGGTGACTGAGATACTCGCGCCGCAAACTCTTCTTCGACACAGGAAAATTTTTCAATGCGATTGAACCGCTTTGGGGTATCCTCCTTTACCTGATTATCAAAATTGAAATACTGACCTTCAAAGGGGTCTTTTAAGGACTGGGGCTTTGTTACGTGGTTTTATGATCCAGAAAATCCCAGCTTTCTTTGCCAAAGTGCTCTTTTAGCTCAGTGCAGCATTATGATAGTGTAAAGAGGAAGTTGTGAGCGAACTTTTCGGTCTTACAAATATTCATACCCGTGAATGATTCTGTTCTCCACACCTCCTACCACAATTTCATCTATTGTGCAATGCCACGGTGGGTTATGGGTCGGTTAGGCGTCCAGGATCAGACCTGGCTGGGACCACTGCTGCCGATGGGCGCTGAACGGTCAAACGTTTCATCACCGTACCATGTTGTGCTTCAAGTTTTTTGCTCACAGCGAACGTCCTCTGTCATCCCAGGTTGTGTGCACACACTACCACTTCTCTCTGCTGTCTCAATTGAGGGTGCCTGTTACAGCCGACGGCATATCCGCCACTACTGGGGTTAGTAGTATAGTTTCTTCGAAGGATCAAAGTGGTGTTACTTATCGTTTCAGAACGCAGGAAATGCTTCCGAATATTTGTTCCTTCAGCTTTGATTTGATGTTCTTCTGACACCTCAGTAGTGTCCTTTTTTCTTTTCGTCTAGTTCCCGTGCCAGACGAAAATTTGCGGATAAAGTATCACACATTTCCTGTGAAACCGGGCCAAAAGGCGGTGATTCGATGCCAGCCAGAGCAGGAGATATTCAACCGATTTCTCAAAGTCAAGTATTGGGAGGTCTTTCGCAATGATTCTCTAATTGCCACTGTTACTCACTCAAGTAGGTCATTTGTCTTTCAGGCAGCGTTAAAACTAAAATGTATCCATATTTTACGGTTTACTTTTGTAGTTATTAGTTACTAACACTCTAGAGGGGGCAATGGCAGATTTTTGCGACCTCAATTTTGAAAAGGGCACTCGTAAACAGAAAGAATAAATGAGTTCTCCCCTCTGAGAGGGTGTATTGAATTTCCCATAAAACTAGAGGTACTTTAACGAAATCAGGCAATTTTTTCCATATTTGTTCTTAGCCCGGTGTTGATTTAGCTATGAAACATGCTTACCAAGGCGAAAAGGGTAGAAGTCATGGCCGACGCGCACAGCTCATATGAGGGGTTGTGATGCAATAAAGTGAGTGGCATCATCAGCACTTTTTTTGCTCCATACATCACCCTTGACGTACTCCCAGTTTTGGCAAACACTAGTCGTCCCGACAGCATCCAAGGTAGTCGGTGGTTACGTTGAGACTGACCACTCAAAAATCAGGAAGGAAGGTGATACGATACAATAATGAATTTGCGCTAAAGCGGGATGAAATTCTCCAAACCACACACTGGCCTTGCATGTCCGCAACCGCCCGGAGCGTCGGTTGGTTCAGTTTGCCCTACGAACCAAGTCAAACTCAAAAGTTGGTTCTGACGATAAATTACTCGAAGGTCTACTGTTCTTGGTAGTAATGGGGGACTACGCGTCCATTAGCGTGGTAAGAACAACTTTGTCGTATTGGGGTGTTGAAACAAATCTTTCACAGCTGCGCCAACTGAGTGGGGGAAATCGTGAAATCTACTAAGCACATGGATCCCACCCATATGCACTGACAAATGCGAGCCAGCTTCAAAGGCTACCTATTTATTGCTCTCTTCCACTCCTTTCATATATCTCATAAAAATGAGCTTTTTTAAATTGTTTAGTGAGAAGGAATGACTTATATTGCTACAGTAAGCGAATGGTTGGTTATTCCTAAATGATTTTCTCACTATTCACACTACTCCATACTTCTAGGCCAGACATCTCTTCATCCCTAGAAAATTATGCTTGTTTTTTTTGTGTGTGTGTATGTGTGTGTGTGTGTATGTGTATGTGTG